ATATTTTTGATTGTCTTTCATTTCGACGTAATAAACATTTTTATATCAAATTATATGGCCATCGGTCTTTTAACACTTGAGACTAAAGATTCATGCCAAATTTATGACAAAATAATCGTGCTGAGTATACATTAATATACGTAATATGTAACGTCACTTGTTGTTTGTGACTTATTATTTGAACGATAGATGGTACAGCGCATATTGATAATATTGGCGAATATAATTATAGATGTTAATGTTGGTTTTCATTCCGCGTCAATAACCCAGTTACTGGATGCAGTAACGATATTGATACGATTACTTTATTCAAATAACGCATAACATCTCCCTCCGTTCACATTGCACACGTAGGTTGCGCGAATTGTGAAAGAATTTTTTCGGATATCCTATGAGTCTTCAAAATCCACGATTTTCTGCTCGCTACTCTTCGCATCTCCATTCTTTCGCAAGACGCAGGTAAAAACGATATTAGATTTACCCGGGGAAGCGGACCTTTTCACGTAACCTATGCCCGGAAAAACTCGCGGAGAAAACGATAAACGACGCGTCACGGCGTGTTTCGCGATATCAATCCGATCGTCGTGCGAGCGAGATGCGCGGGAAATATATTTCTGGAAATAGATTATCGGTTCAGCGACGCCGAAGGTAAAAACGCTGAAGCATGTTGTCACCGCGCGAATGCGACCCCCACATTCCGTTTAAACGGAATAAAATGCCAAAATACGCAATATTCAACTAGATTCGACGTTAGTGTAAAATATATGCTCTCATGCTTTTATTTATCGCGAATAAATCACTGCCCGCGATCAATACAAATATTGATACAAATATTTATCTCTCAGAATTGTCAGAAAGATATGGCGTATTACGAGATATGTTCGTATCTTCTTTTTTTTTTTTATTTTTGCACCGTAGAAGCACTGGAACATCTTAAATTATATCGTGCAAGGTACTTTCGACATACGAATTCGAATACTAATATTGAAAAGCGAATATGAATCGATGACAAAGAGACTTTCGCGAGGATACATTTTCATATGTCGTATCGGGTAAGAAATTCCCGTATATTCCGATAATCCGTTCCTTCGTCGTCACGTAGGAGAAAACGTGTACCGACGTTACCATATACGCGACCGTGTCCCTAATGAAAAGTTTTCTTTTTCCCCTGGACTGTATTTTTCGTCGTTGAGACGCACCGTATCCCGCCTTGAATTTTATCACGTATCCCCGTATTTCGCGCGCTTTCGCATGTACATATACATGAGCGTCCGCAAAACTCCGCGCCATGATATCGGTTTCTTTCCGGAATCTAGAAATCCCTGATTCGTTTCGCCCGCTACATTGTCGTTCGTCAGGCTACAGTAAAATCCCTTATCTGGTTTCCCGACCGCGTTTTAAGGTATCAAAATAGCTTCCACAGATTGCGCTCCTTTCATGATATTCGTCGACGCGCGCGCGCGGGATGAGTTATAAGCAGTATATGCTTTATGTGCCATAAAATCTTTAGCTAGCATAATATATGAACCTAAAATAGGGCGTAAGAGATTTTAGTAGTTTAAATATAGTTTGAATCTCAAAGATTTTATTATAACTGTATTTGTGGCAATCAGCATTTGTACCTAATAATATATTTATATATTATCTTGAAGTGTTTTTTATCGATCGCGATATTATTCAATATTTAACGATTCTATCGTACGCGAAGCTAATCCGAGCTTGTGCCATCTTTTATGATTAATATAATTCCCTAATAAAATTATCGAAAAAAACGTTCAATATAAGAAAGACAAATATAACTTAACAGAACACAGAAATATAGCTTCTCTAAATACATACTGGATTGCAATAGGTAGAATTAAGGATTAATAAAACATTCAAATAATAATATAACGTGAAAAATATATGAATAAAATTAATATAATATCAGATTAAACTTAAAATTTAGAATCAATAGGACGACTCGAAACGATTATGAACGCTTTTTATGCAAAGTAAATATGAATAAAAGTACTGTAATAACAAGCTATTGATATTGGTCCTAATCCATTAAAAAAATATTTAAACTTGTATTGTTTTTTTACATTATTTCAAAATAATTTTGCGCTTTGTTTATTTAAGAAGACTTCATATCCGTATAAAATTTATTGTTTTCCAAGATTGCACAACTTCTACTTTTCATTTGCTAAAGCAAAATTGTAATTAAATCATCTGCATGCACCGAATAAATTTACTCTCCAGCTGCTGTATCGCCGCCAGCTGTTTCATCTTTTGTACCAACTTCTACTCGAGACTTTTTTACTTCAACTTCATACGGATGTTCTCTTACACGAATATAAATTATTTAAAAAAGTATACACATAATATCAGCATGTATATACGCGATCTCATTTATATTATTACGTATATCATTTATATTAGTATGATCATATTGTTCTGATATTGCATTCAGTACGCTCGTTTATTTCCACGTTCAATTAGCAAATAAAAACATGAGAAACGTACGCAACGTGGTATAATTCAATTTTTCCTAGCGTTGTACGAAAGCAAAACTGAAAACTATTATAAATATTTTTTTCTCGTAATACAATATGATATACTTAAAAAATTTTTTATTTTTTAAATCAAAAATCTCAAACGAGAGCCTTTTATAAAACATTTTTATTTGTATACTTGTATTAGTTATTGTAATCTATGTAATATCTTAAAATTCTGTTCAAAGTACGTACTATACATATGCGCGCCGGTCATTCGGAATGTACGGCAATATGCCAACGTGAAATACGATCGCGCACACAGCGAAATAGGCTAAGCGATCACACGGTACTTCATCCGGCACTTTCGATATTGACTTGCACACGCGGTCGTTTTTTACTTGCGTAAAAGAAAACAGTACATGTTTATACGAACAGGTAACACAGAGAATTACGGGTTAATGCCACTTGATGACGAATTTAGAAGAAATAAAAGTCAATCTACAGTCTAATGACGCAGACTTTTCATAACGCAAAATAGATTTCAATAAGTGGACCTCTTTCTTTAATTAATTTATAATAACGTAATAATAGATTGTAAAGTCCTTGTAAAACTTTGAACTTTTATACATTTTTTGTTGTATGTATGATACAATTAATCCATAAATAACATTACAATTACAATTTAGTGAAGTTTAGTATGTATCAACACTAACAATAAGTATACATATATAGCCGAGTAGGTTGCGCGAGTAGGTAACTTTCCAGTAGCCAGTCCTTTTTGTCAAGAATTAACAATTAGGGCTGGCTACTGATGAAAGTGGCCACTGGTAAAATTGACATTAATGTAGAACGGTCAGCACACAAATAACGGCATCATCGGCCATTAAAGAGTTAAAAGTAATTTATTTCTGATCATTTTCTTAATAGATAAATTAAAAACTAATTTTTTGGCTATCAAATTTAAATCCATTGGATTTCTTTCTGGTATACATGTTATGATTATTGTTAAACAGAACGTCGCTCTTTAGCCGATCTGCGGATTAGGATAACTAATATGATTCGAGATATTATTATAAATTAACTGTAAATTATGTAGAACTTTAAAATTGTATCTCGGTTTGTACACGGTCTGTGTAATGACAGTTGGAAACTAATCTTAGGAATAAACGTATGAAATAATTCCAAGAATAAAACTGAAATAAATTTTCTTTTACAGATTAATGTTGACATATATAGAACGGAAGTTACGGGACTTTAAAATTATACAGGATGTGTATGGAAAAAAATAATTTGCTACTATACGGACAACTAACATTTTTTGCTGCGAAAGCTAATTAATTTTGCTATTATTGCAAGATTAATTAGCTTTCGTAGCAAAAAATGTTAGTTATCCCATATTTAACAAATAGATTTGCTGTTGCAGCAAATTCTTTTTTTCCGTGTGCCGTTTTAAATGCCCCAGGCAAATATCTCGAAAAATATGGAAGACATCGAACGTTTTAGACAAAAATTATAAACATCAAGGGGGACAAATATTGGTAAAACCAATTTTTGAAAAAAAAAGTCTAAAGGTTGTCATATTCTTTTAAATTGAATTGTATGATTTTTTAAATATATAATATGATTCTTCTAATTATTCTACATATAAAAGTATTAAGGTAATGTTATCAAAAAATATCTCGTAAACTATTCATGTTTTGGTAACTGTACCTTAATACTTTTGTACAGAATAATAAGACGAATCAATTAATGTAAAGAAAACACATTGCTTTGCAAAAAAAATTATGTAATTTCTAATATGCAACTACGTATGCAATTCTTTTTTACATTTCGACTCTTTCTTTGAGTCATCCTCAGCGCATAACATTAACAACTTATAACTCAAAATACGGTCAGAGTTTAACACAATCAAATAGTTAAAACAGAGTATAGATAGTCACTAACTTATATTGTCGTCTTTCAGAACAAAAAAGTAAAGGCAAATGTAAATTAATCCTATTAAATTTGTCTATATTATAATATTGTATATGCGTACTAATTACTGCTCTTTCTATATAAATAAGGGCCGTGGCACACAGAAAAACTTAAGCAGTAAAACTTAAGCAGTAATGAAGTCAACGGTATGGATTCGCTACCGCTTAGGGCCGTGCCTTAAGTTCTTGACTGTGATTGGCTGACTTGCTTACTGCTTAAGTTTTTTTATGTGCCACAGCCTTAAGTCTAGATCTTATTTTTAAATTAAATATATTTATTTTAAACGAGAGACTCGTTTAAAGAGCCGTTAACGCAAGTCTTAACAAGTTATCGTTATCTCCTTTGTAATTCACTCTTGATTCAGTTATACGCGAGGCTCCGTATGAGGATACGCACGCTAGCGCGAGCATATGGTCAATCATTGAGTATCTGGCTGCTCGCGCGGAGGATAGCGCTGATTGGTCCGTCGTCGCCGGTTGGTTGACGCGGCTCGTGGCTTTCGGCTCGCCGAGCTCGAGTCGGCTCGCTCAGTCGTACTCGAACCGCGCATCGGACAGGGTGGTGTGCTACCCCTCTCTCGCGATTTCGCGGCTCCGTTGTGTGCGTGTGCGCATACGTCAGCTTGCCATGCGAGACGTACCACGTTGTACGTCTCCCCGAGCGGTTGTGCCTCGGACACGCGTTGACAGATACGAAGCGTGAGGAAGTGAGTCCACGAACAGTATTTTGAGTCACTGCGATCTCCAGGTCACCGTGATTTTAAATTGTCGCGAGAAAATCAGAGCGTGTCGAGCGGAGCCGAGATACGTTGCTCAATCATAAATTATTCGTCAGAACGCGCAGAACGATTGACTGTACAACGCAATCCGCGTAATCGCGCGCCGCTCCGAGCTGTCACGCGAAACCATCGCTCATTTAAATGGAGCAACCCGACGAAACTGTCGTTCGTCGAAGCTCACAGCCGTCCTCGATATCCACTGCCGCATAAACGCACGACGGGGCACGCTCGAGCGAATGAAAAATTCGATAAAGGCGGATCGTTTTCCATTCGGGAGGAACGCCGCGACGACGAGGAGGAGGAGGACGACGACGACGAAACGCGAAAAAGGTCCACTTGACTCCGCGAGATCGAGCGCGGCGCGAACGCTGGCGCGTTCTCTTTCAAAAGACGATTGTACCGAATTCGTCATCCACGCGTCGACGATCACCGGCGATCAAATGTACATCGACTGACGTTCAAAGGGATATATATAGGGCGGAGTGGATGCTCCGAGCCAACGACGCGACGCGACGCGAGACGCCAGGACGCCCCCGTAATTCGCGCGCCGTACAGATGTCCTTTCGCGTGTACGAGGATCCTTTTCAGCGGATGTGCGCACGGCGGGAGAGATAGATCGTCTTCGACGTAATCTGCCGTTGACGTGACCTAGCCTAACTTTTAGCTCCGAACTCCACCTGGTCTCTTCGTCCACCCCCCTCCCCTCCGTCGCGTCTCCCAGGCTTATCGTGTGTGTGAGAGTGTGTGTGACGGCGCGCGCGGCTGTTCTTCCAAACTGTGTCCCGTCGGATGGGGTGTAACTTCGCGCATTAGCTGGGGGTGAGTAATATACCATGCTACTTATACAACATTTTGAAGCAGTGCGCCGAGAAATTATCGGCCAGTCGCTCCCCTCTACGAGAGAGAGAGAGAGAGAGAGAGGGAGAGAGAGAGAGAGAGAGAGAGAGAGAGAGAGAGAGAGAGAGAGAGATGCTACGAAACGCACGGCGCAATATAACAACGCGACAGAGTGTCGCGAATTGTAATTTAATATTGCGACTATTTTAATTAAATCTTGAGTGCGTGGTCGTATTATTAAATTCCCTAGAGACATTTTTTGCAATTAATTTTTCAAAATGTTTTGAAATCTTGATTCACATCGTCCATTTTAAATTTATTTTATTTTGTTGCAAATTGGATTTTGGCGAAAAAAGTAAAAGTATTACGTGGCGGCATACTGCGTAGCGTAGCATGAGAATGTTTGTTTTAATTTAGAATGAAGGGAAAACAAGGTCGGAATCAAGTTAATGCAAGCTAGAAAAAGCTTTGTATATTCGTCATACAAAATAAAAGTAGCTGCTTTCATCTCACAATAGCATTACGTGTATATTTATTATGCAATTCTTTTCTTTATAATATTTTTCGCAGTCATTTTAGAATAACCGTTTGCAACACCAAAAATCGCGGCACTTTGTGCAGCTGGCTCATTGTATGCCTATTGTACAACGCATGCCATATTATAAAATATACGGTTCCCGAATCCTCCGGTTTATTTGTCCGGCACACATAATTTTTCAATGGATTTAAAGGGCATAGAATATATGCCGTAGAAATATAGACTTTGAACCTTTTATCTCGACATCTATAAATATTCAATTATACTAGTCACAGTACAGGTATATAATACATACATGAATATTTAACCATCGGTAAAGAAGCGTCTCAGCGTCACACAGAGCTTTGAACTAGTAAATACATTTTTAGCTATTACCGAGGCTATTACTTATGCTTTCAATCATGAGATTTCTCGGAGTTGATCTGCATGTAATTTAGTTAACAGTCTCATCGCTTCGTATATTTCCAGGACGGACGGCATGTTTGAAATATTCATCTTTAATCCTTTGCTATCTTTGCCATTCCCTTTATTTAGTATTTTCTTTGATACAAAAGAAGAGGAGAATATAAAGAAAATATAAAGAAAGAAAATATAATAAGAAAATCTATATATGGAGATATAAACTTTTAAATATATTTTTAAAAAGTTATCACATTTCGTGGATATTTCGTGACAATTAAAATTGATTAAGATAGTATTTTTTTATGTTTTGCTATCTAAAACATTTTAGTAGAATTATTATTTTTAAAGAATAGAGAATCACATTTTTCATATTTTCGTCTTTTTATTTCATTTTTATTTTAATATTAATGCAGATATAAACTTAATGCGAAAGTTATCTAACATTATTACAGAATTATATGATTAACATGATTATAGAATTAATTTACTGTATTTTTTTAAATCATTTTACGTAAAAAAAAGCAACTGAAACTTGATGTATTGTAATTTAGGTAATATCAATTCGTAAATGAAGCAGATCGTTAATGTTAATACGATAGAATTTCAATTCATCTGCATACGGAATTCCGAGGAACGAAATACGATATTTGGAACGTCTAGGCATGGTAAAGAGTTAAACTGCACAGAGATTAATTGCGTCCGCAAAGGACACCGCGCTCGAGTGCAAAAAGGCGCAGTCGTCAGAGAAATAATATATCCGCCCGCGCGCTTTAAAGGTTCGCCGAACCGCAATGGGTCCAACACACCCGCATATCTCGTGGGCATATGGCGCCGAAAATAGTCGGTCGTTTTGGAACGTCTTTCTGCGGGCCGCCGTTTAGGAGTAACCCGCCGGCGTAGAAAGATGAGGAGGGCAGCGCTGGCGCTAATTGGTTAATGTCCGTCATTACTATACTCTCCGGCGCGGGAGGCGATGAGAGAATTAAAACCCGGCTATCAACCGGCGAGGCGAGAAGGAAGAAACGAGGGAGGGGAAAAAAGTCCTCCGCGATCTTTTTAGCGAGGTTGTTGCGGTTTCATTTACACGATCGCTTAGGGATGTAAAAGATATATCATTGTGCCTCGCGTAAAAAGAAATATCATTCTTTTTTTTTATTCATTAGAATAGACGTGAAACAATTATGAAGCCAACGAAATTACATTTGCCGCTTTGATGTTAATCGCACGCGCGTACTTTCTCGCATGATCGTCGGATTTGCTCGTCTAGGGGTCTCGTTAAGGTCATGCGAGGACCTTATCGCGAATACATCCCTCGACTTCGAAGCACGTGATTCTGCAATTAGCAGTAGTCGACGTTTACTTTGGCGACAAAGGGAACCGTCTTCCTCCATTATTCTAAAAAAAAAAGTTTGTTTCAGATCTAAAAGAGAGACCGTCTATTCCGCTTGTAATTAAATTTAATTTCTAAAATATACTTGGCGTAATTTTATGAAATATTACGAAATTGATTACATTAAAATAAACGAACCTCCGAAGTTACCCCCAATAGACGTATTGCATTATTAAATTTCATTTGCGGAACTTAGCTATGTTGTACTATGTTAATTAATTTCTACAAGCAATTTTGTAATTTACGTAATACGAGTAAATCGATGATCAGCTTACCGAGAGTTCCGTTGTTTGGATTGTACGCGTATTTACTGAATATTACAGTAATTATTATACGCTTTTATATGCCGGGACGGACTTAATACACGTGTATGCAAAGTGTACGCGGCGGAATTCGCAAAATTGCGGTTTTCCGCGACTTAACTGAAGATTACAAAATAATGAGAGTAGAAGCACGCATTCTCCTTAAAAAAATGTACAGTTTTAAAGCACGGTACGATTATGGCCTTACTGCTGTGTCATAAATATTGCTGTGCATTATACTTTATACTTATCTTAACATATTGCTCCTCGAGGGCTCTTTCAAATTTCTGCAACGCCTTTTTCCTGAATATCCTCCACACGTGACTACAAATATAAAGCGTTATCGAGCCTGGTTTTCGAATCTCTTGCGTATAAGCGCACGATTCTAAAACGATCGGCAACCGTGATTCGATTCTCGCACGTAGAAAGTATGAGAAATTGAAAGATTCCAGATAGGGCGCCGCGGTGCTCGCCACCGACATGTAAGTTCGTAGTCACGTGAGGCCGAATGACTAACACCCCCGTCTTTACTACACGAGAATACACTTATGCGCCGAGGCATTCATTTTCCGCTATCGCGAGCCGTACTTTTCGCGCCAAGTGGCTCGCGAGATTGAAAAATTCTAGATAAGAAGATGTTAAACTGCATCTTCCGCGTCTTTAACCGATCACGGGAATGATCTTGTGATTCTTTCTCTATTAATTTTAAACCGATGTATAGTTACAACGTCTGTGTTAATAACTTTATATATTCCTTTCATTGAGACATTTTTTATCTGTCTTTAGTTGAACTTAAATCTTATAAATTTTATTTTATTTTATTTCTTATGTAAGAAGTACAACGAATACAACATACAGTGTGTTGTGATGTAGGGATTTATTTTTCGACATATATACGCGCGCGAGTAATGACTAACTAAGACGTTGTTATGAATTAATTAATTATAAAACGCGTAACCGTGATTAATAAAGAGCTTACGTAGTTGTTCGTTTTACATTTTATTCATCACCGAATGCTTGGACGACGCAAAACAAAATTTCACATATTATTGCACATAGCTACATAGACGGCGAATATTTTGACTAATATAACGTCGCTCTTTGTAAGAACGACATCAAATACAAATCCATCGTATTTATGGGAAATTAATAGCATTCCGACATCACAGAAGTATGGAATGCGAAGTTATGAATTCCTTTCCCGCGTTTTCCGCTCCCAATGTGAATTTATTCGCTGCGTAGCCATGCTTAATTCGTCGGTAATTACACCCGCGCTCGCGTACATTCTTCGCTTTGAAATTTCATCGTAAGCGCGCACAGCCATCCGCCAGCCATCCACGAAACAATTTCATATTTTCAATGTTAAACTCAGAGTGAATACCAATATCGCGAAAATTTCTCGTGACGTACCGTTGCCCCGGCGCGGCATGGCCCCCGACGACCCATTTGCATAGTACGACTGCCGAGCGTAGCGGCATTTTCGCGCGACGTTTTTATTAGGCCGATGCAGCCGGCAGGGAATTTCTTTTCCGCCGTTTTGCGAGATCCCGAATTGCGCGCGCTACTGCATTGCGAATCCGCGGCAGCATTTGCTTTCGCAGCGCAGGCAGAGGGAAAGACTTTTGTCGCGGTTGTCACCATTAGCGTGCGCCATAGTAGGGTAGACGGCTGCATTTACAACTGGCCACACGAAAGTCGACAGCAACCTGTGTACATTTCGACGGCGGGTGCACTTAAAATTTCCATTTACTTGCTGCACGCAGCCATTCGTATCGGCGCGAACGCATCGTCGCACGAAAGGGGTTGCCGACCAAGTAGAATCTACTGTCTCGTTGCGCCATTGTTACGAGGAAGAAGGAAGATACGCGTAAAAGTGTTTTGAAGTATAATGGTAGCACTTGACCGAAATAGAAAAATTCCCCGAAGATACTGTCGACTGTGGCAATATCTGTCGAAATGTTATTTCAACTAGTTTGGAAAATTTTTCAACGCTTGATTATTACCAACAATTGAATTAAAATGAATGTCATAATCATCTAATTACGTATTATAGCAATGTCTCTTTTATTACATTTTAATTTGAATGAAATCTACATATTTTGATCTTTTTCGTTTCAAATAATGCAAGCAAAGAGTTTTTAGAGTATTGTTTTATATGTTTTTGTTTGAATATCAGAAAAACTATCAAACTTGGTGCAAAAACTTTCGCGTACACGAGTAGCAATTGCGAAATCGATAAGAATTCCGTCTGTTTTTTGTACTACTTTGTCCTTACATTAAGTTCCTTATGCGCCTTGCCAGATCTCGTTAGGTTGGGCTCCCATTATGAGGGTGGTGTATAACGACCTAG